TGACCGACCACTGCGAAAGTTGCTTAACTTCAACGATCGCAGCCGAACGCGCTAGCCACCTGCGCCATCGAGCTCCTCACTAACACTCAGTACTAAAGGAGAATCGACGCAAGGAAGAGGAATACTTATGTACTTTTTACTTTTAATAATATGTACCTAGATACTTTTTGTTAAACTAATGTTCGCTTCGTTTAATTGACCCTATGTCGTGCCTGCATAGTGTAAATTATTATTTTATAGCACGCTTTCTCATCAAAAACAATAAACCCTTGTTTAATATCTAAAAAAAGAACATAATGACAGGTGGCGCACGCGCATGTTGTGTCAGCACGTGGTCGCACGCATATGTTGTACAAACTAAGCGAAGAAAGCATAAGGCGAGTGTCATCGTGATTAAGGTTACTTAAAAATTTGAAAAGTCCTGACAAAAAGCCGGACATTTCGATAAAAGTCCGGACATTTTAGTCACAAAATGCAAACATCACCCACTTAGTTACTGTGATATTATACGCGTGGTAGCAGACGCTCGCATCGCGAGGTGGGTCTCGTTGTTGATTTTTAAAGATAATTTATATTTAGTTTTAAATTAATGAGAACGTAATAAATATTATTACGTTCTCATTAATATTATATTATTTTACTTATAAATAAGTAGTTTTACTCATATTCCATCTCATAAAAAAATCCAGTCAAATTAAAAAGCCGGGCACAGTCCGGACATGTCCGGACAAATCCTGACGGATGGTAACCCTGATCGTGATATAACATTAGGTAGGTACTGAATTATCCATACTGATATTATAAATGCAAAAGTGTGTCTGTCTGTTACCTACTCCCGCTTGAACCTCTGAACCGATTCAGATGAAGTAGACAGTTATCTATGTAAAATTGATACTGCGCTGGCGTTGTTTGTTTGACGATGCTCAAAATATTTGCCGGGGATGTAGTGTTAAACTTTTTTGAACATAAAAAAATTGTTGCCATCTCAACTTATATGTAGAGGCCTCTCGCGGATGTGTAAGTAATGTATACTTCTCTCTGAGGCGTTCGGGTCTTTCATATCCTGAACAAGTATAATCTCTTATCTATTAGACAAGTCCGTCTGTGGTGCTGTTTCAGCGGCCAAACCGTAAGAGATAGATAAAGAAAATATTTAATTTATAAGTTAAGAATAGTCTGATAAGACTACAAACCGGATTTGAGTAACGTAGCACTTCCGGTTTTCGAGAAATCACGAATTTCTAACGAAACCACACAAAATCTCCGAAGTTCTCAATTAATTATTTTTTTTTTTAAATCAGGTTTTGGTGAACATTTGGTTCACTGGTTTGCTAGTATGTATTATAATTTTAATTTTTTTAAGCATTTAACTGCTCAATATTTAAATCTAAAGCAAATATTATCAGGAAAGTGCATTCGCCCGGATAGCAAAGGGTGCGGGTCCAAGTTCCGTCTGCAGCCTGATCCGTGAAGTATAATATTTTTATTAACTTAGTAGGTAGGTACATATTATTATGTATAGTATTTTAAGCTACCACCGTAATGTATAAAGCAAGGCAAGTAAGCTTACTCAACAATGTTGTAATTATTGACTTGATTGGTCTCGCCTTGAGCTTAGAATGCTTAATAGCATATCTTTGATAGGCATTTGATAGATAAGTCATATGTTGTTAAGTTCCAATATATGTATATCCTGTATAAATACTGGAGACCAACATATCAGTTCTGACTTCTGACCATAGAAACATGTTCATAACAGCACTCCTGATGTACTTTCTGTCATATTTTGAGGCAGCAGGTGCTCGTATTTATCATACTAACATTTGCCTCCACCGGGATTCGAAACCAGGACCTCTGAGTAGGCGACGCCATGAAACCTGGCCTATATTTTGTTGTTGTTGCGAATAACTTTGTATTGTTTAATCAAAGTTAAGTAGTGCTTTCACTTTTTGCAATGACAATAAGACAACAAAAGCTACTTATAATTAGACACTGAACTAGATTTTAACTAGATTGTCTTTATGCTAAGTACGAGTATATGCTTCCAGACTATACTAAAAGTCACCAAAATCTTTGTATGATCTTAGTATCTTTTGGCTGCTCTGCTCGAATGTTATGGAATCAATTATTTATATAGGTAAGTATATCTACCATGTTTATTTTGTTTAAGTAGGCGATCACGATAAAGTGATTGATGATGTGTACATATAATAATGATATAGAAAACGGTGACGGCAAATGATGTAGGTAAGTGAATTTGCATAGATTTATAAACAGAAATCTAAAGAAAAAAAAGCTTTAAAGAAGAAACATTTTTAATTTTTTTATTTTTATGAAAAAAGAGGTCAATACAATCCAAAGCCTTAACAAGGCGTGTCGACGCGTCGTCGTTAGGGTTACCAACTTTTTTTTTATCAAATATAGTAATTTCGAAGCTATAAATAAAAAAATATAGTACATATTATGTAGTTAAAATATAGACTTCATTTTTGAAATGAATGTATTTTGGAGTTTACTCCTTAAGAATCGATTTCTCATACCGGGCCTCTTATATATATATGCATATATAAGAGGCCCGGTATGAGAAAAATGTGAGGAGTAAAATCTATCGATGAATGACATTAGTGACCTCGTTTTTGTGCGCAACCTCATCTGCGCACCTTTCACTTTAAGCCATGGCAACGGATAAAAAACATTAAGTTGTCACAAATGTCAATAAAATAAATAAACTAAAAATAGATAAAATCGGAGCAAAATTAATGAAAACAAATAACTAACAGAATATAGAGAAATGCCGGTAAGTGTCCAGCACTCTGGAATAGTGATTTTCAGTACAGATGGAATTATAATACATATTAACAAAATGATGACTAGTGTGTGATATTTTTGAAATTGTGTGTTTCCAGAAATACATAATAAAATATATGATGAATACCGCTGATGTTAGATGATAAAATGTGTGACATGGAACCTATGATAGTCGAAACCATGGGACGATTCCTGAGGTATCTCTACTTGTAACCGACTTCTTCGGACTTGATTTTGTTTTGTGTCTGTTCAAAGACAATCGTTTTTAGAGTGTAAACTCCGGTCGTGAGTCGGAGCTGACACACACAATTTTTTTTGCTGCTCCATGCCTTAATAATATTTTTTTTATATATAAGAAAGCTTTCTTTTACTGGCAAATATCTGCTTTAAGCAAAATATAGTTTCGCCTACTATATTTTTTTTAGAAATATAATATTTCATACCCTAATATAGAAGGTTTTGCAACCCTAGTCGTCATCCTCTTTGCTTTCCCAGCTCACTAAGCGTGACGACCTTGGTGAGGAACCCCAATAAAGTAAAAGACGTCCCATCCTTCGTTCGTTAAGAAACTTAGCATTTCTTAGGCCCGTATTACAGAATGACAACTTAGTGTTGATCTTTACTTGAGTACAGTTAGAAAGGGATGTCGCTATGTGCTATATATAGCGACATCCCTTTCTAACTATGCTCAAGACTAGATCAATCACTGAGGATCTTTCTATAATATGGACCTAAGTTATTTACAATACATTTCGTATCTAGCTTTCGTATAAGAAAAACACGTTTGCTATAGCTGAGTGGTAGGTACCTAATTAGCTTTAGTAACGATAAACATAACAACATACTTTTATTAAAACACTTATAAAATTAAAAAGCATCCGAGAAGTAAAAAGTTCAGTAGGTAATGTCGATTGTGGCATGATTCTCTAAACTTAAAACTTAACATCATTATCAGCCTATTAATGTCCCCACTGCTGGAGCACAGGCTTTCCCTATGAGATTGGGCCATGACCCGGGCCCAGTGCGGATTGGCGGGTGCTAACGACTGCAGATGCAGCCGGGACCAACGGCTTAACGTGCCTTCCGAAGCACGGAGGAACTCGAGATAGTAAATTTTTGGTCACCCATCCAATAACCGACCACTGCGAAAGTTGCTTAACTTCAACGATTGCAGCCGAACGCGCTAACCACTTGCGCCATCGAGCTCCTCAAAACTTAACATCAGTCTCTCCTTTTCATTAACTGACTTCAAAAAAGGAGGAGGTTCTGTGTTCGCCTGTTTATATATTTTTTTATGTATGTTCACCGATTTCTCCGTCAATTGTGTACCGATTTCCTAAATTATTTTTTATTTGAAAGAGTACACTTCCGAGGTGATCTCATTGGAACCAAGTCAGGATCTGATGGGTGGAATCCGGGGAAATCGAGGTAAACCTGTCAGGTAAACCCTAGCGTGTATGGCTTGCTTTAGGGAAGTGGCAAAATCTGTCATTTCCATTACGATTGTTGTAAAAACAACAAATGTGTTTCCAGGGATACGTAATATTTAGATAGTTGAAAGAAAATAAACTTGCGGGTCAGCAATCAAATTGGCTGATAATACATAGAGAAAAGAAACTGGCCACTATGTTTTGGTAAGTAGGTACCTAGGTACATTACATAGAGGAATTCGCAGAGCAACGAATATAAAACTTGAAAGGGATGGATAAAATAAGGGATAGAACTTTGCATGAATCCTATAATTAATGAAGTAGGTAGCTAGCACCCGTTCTTATTTTATAAGATTATCAAAATTAAAACGGATATTTTAAGTTAACTTTTATCTTTCCTTAATATGTAAGTTGTGTAATAAAATTAATTTAAAACGGAAACAGCCACAGAATAAAAAAAAATGAGAAAAATGAATTATTGGGCACGAACCTTAAACTACTTACCAAATAGGTTATAAAATGTATATGAATACAAAAAAAAAATACTTTAACTTAATCCTTACCATCACATAATTTTCTGTTATTTTTCATCACTAACTTAAAACTACTTAGTTATAGGTACCGTTCCTGAGATACAATTTATTTAAATGTAATGGAAATAAAAAAAAATCCTGTCACCTACAATCTACCTCCAAACAGTTTTGTTTACCAAACAATAGGGCATGAGAGATTTGTAATAACGAAAACAAAAGTTGAACTCACCGAGCTCTTTGATAAAACAAATCAAATAAAACTTTTCCAGGTAGGTTTTCTTCGAACGAACGAAACTGTTCACTTGGATTATAGTCACTTTATTAATAAAAATCACGAACGTAACGATCACTTTATACAATTTTACTGACGCAAGCACGAAGTACGCGTACGCCGCGCGTAAGTTCGCGCCAAACACTAAAAGACACTAAAAGTAAGTTTACGTTTGTTTGGTTGGTTGGACGCCCGATCGTGTGCTTCGTTCGTTTGTGTACACACACCACACGCATCACATGCACACGCATTCACACACAATAGCGCTCAATACGAATAAAAAAAAATGGGTGCGTGTACATATGTAGGCGCGTGAGAAGTTATCCTTCTTTGGCATCGTTTAAAATTAGTTTTTAATTGCATGCAAATAATTAATTACAATAAATTAATAAAAAGTCTGGAAAAGGACACAGTCAATAAAGTTCAGTTTTAATTTGAAAAAATAAATAAATAATCAAAATATTCAATTAAAATCGCTACTGAATATAATTTATTAGAACATATGTGATTTGCACTTGTATGAAACTCAAACACGTATTCCGAATATACAAACTAGAAACATGTGGATAAATATTATAAATATGAATACCTATAACTGTTACTTTATTACAAAAAATAAAGATGTGGTATTTGGTTCTACTACACCAATGGTCAAGAGATGGCGCTGTAGTCTCCTGAATCGCGCTTTGGTTCCGTTGTTCCAGATTAATAAATACTTTTGATATTATTAATATGAATACCTATAACTGTTACTTTATTACAAAAAATAAAGATGTGGTTTTTGGTTCTACTACACCAATGGTCAAGAGATGGCGCTGTAGTCTCCTGAATCGCGCTTTGGTTCCGTTGTTCTAGATTAATAAATACTTTTGATAGGCCTTCACAATGCAGTCGTTAGCACCCACTAAATAGAGATTCTATTTTGTTGGTAGTTTTCTTAATGTGCGGTAAACACAAAAGTAACGCATGAAGTTACGCTGTTAAAGTTTTGTGTTACAGTGATGCGCGCGCATCTTAAAATTTCACTCTCATCATTTTTTCATAACGCGCCTAAAGAAGTATAACTTCAAAAATAGTGCTAGTCGAGCTCGCGCAAGCAAGGTTCCGCATAAAAAATTAATAATACCACAATACAGCCAGCCACTGTCATTTGCAAAACCTATCATTTTTTGTGTGTGGAGCGCTTTAATGCTTAACTTTATTGTGGTTTTATTATTTAAATATTAATAGTGTCACGTATCATATTATTGGTCCATGTTTATAGTATAGAAAAATTCAATTTCCACACAAAACTTTCATAAGAATTCCCTGTTGAGACCACGAGAAACTTTCAGCTAATGTAGAATTTAATGAATCGAGTGAAAAATAAGTAATAAATATTCTACTACCTATTAGGAATAAATAAAAAAATCAGTCTCATTTTTTTTGTTTTCCTAATTTCTTTGTCATTTTTTTTATTGGCTGGTTGGTAATGGCCTTTTAGACACCCGATTTTTCATATGGTTCAAGTTACTCTAAAGTTTCTTTGACCCAGGTATTGATGAAAAAAGTTATAAAAAAAATTATGGAAGTATGCCGAGTGTCGATTTTCCGCTATACATCAGCATACAAAAAAAATAGTATTTGCAATTATTCTACAATAACTTTACAATAGGAAGAATAAATCTACTGTTTACTTCTATTGGAAATAGTCAAAATCTTTTCTAAGGGGGTAAACGAGGCCCTCAAAAATTACGATTTTTTGCAAAAAATGTGAATGGATCTCGTTATTTTATCCTTAGATAAAAAAAATAACGATTGTTTATACGATGCATAAAATAGTAGGATTATACTACTGGCTTAGTTTTTTTTCTCATAACTTTACCAAATCTTCTGAATCACTTTTATTTGGTAATTATTTTTAGTTTATGATAATAATATTATGATTATATATCTAAATGAACTCAGTAAATTTTGCAACTTATTGTTTTTACTTACCTTGATAAACTCATCGTTAAAAACAGCTGAATTAACTTTTATATATTATACAAATCGTAATTAAATAAATTGATTTGCCATGCAGATAAAGTCGACAAAACACTCTATTATCAAATAAAATAAGTAACAACTTTTTACAGTGACTACATCGTTTGTAAAACTATGTGTTGTTTTAAAACGATTTTAGAATAAATTTAGATGCGACGACGTTCGACCTAAATGCATTAAAAAAGGTGTTGATAGTAATATGACTGCATTTGTCAGTACTGTGCTTAGTTTGAAAGTTTTTTTTAGTTAGGATTTGATCTGAGGTTACATAAAAATTGTTTCTCTCTTAAGCTGCTACATCAAGGTCCAATTTATAGAAAAATCAGAAAAGATATGTTCAAATAGTTCAAAACAGAACGTCAAATACCTTCATACTTAGTTAGCAAAGTGAGGCAAGTTTTAAACATTTAAATGTCCGTGCGTATCAAAACACTCATGGTAATATAACTAAAAAAAAATCTAATAGATTACTAATTCCCCTTCTATTATTATGAAAAAATAAAACGCTGAGCTCGGTACTATCCATTCAACACACACCTTGTGTCATTTTAATTGCACTGTCAGCTCTCAGCTGCCAATGCCATGATTGATAAACTTCCTTGATAAGATTAAATGTAACATTTGTTTCGGGTCAAATTAGGTGAAGCTAGAAAAAAAATTTGGTGTTATTTTTAAACGACTTCAAAAAGGTTCTCATTTCGGTCTGTATGTTTTTCATAATCGTACACAGATTACTCCGAACTTCAATGTTTCTGATGCGATTTACGTGATTAAAATTAAAATTTATTTAATAGCAATTAATAAAAACAAACTTCAAAATTGAAAATGGAACTAAAAAGTCGGTTATGTTTTGTTTTACGAAATCACGATGCAAGTACCTAAATCTTTTATTAATTTATATTTTTATTTAATCATCTTAATATATATAAATCTCGTGTCACAATGTTTGTCCTCAATGGACTCCTAAACCACTGAACCGATTATAATAAAATTTGCACACCATGTGCAGTTCGATCCAACTTGAGAGATAGGATAGTTTAAATCTCAAATTATAGTCGCAATTTTAATTTATTGCAAATTATTACTTTTGGGCGGTACGAAGTTCGCCGAGTCAGCTAGTATTATATAAAAAAGGAATCGAACCCGGTCCGACTGCGTAGAAGGCGAGCTTTCTACCACTGGACCACGTGTGCTAGTTCACAAGGTTTGATTTTTTAACAACAGTCAAAAATGTTATACGACATGCTAAGGTGAACATAAAAAAGTGGCGATGTTTTAAAAGTCTCACTTTAAAAACTTTTAGACATAATTTTAATTGACGGGTGTTTTCAAAAAACTAGATACCTATCATATGAACTAGGTTTTTCTATCATATCACAACAAATCAAACTTTACAGAATGTAAATAAATATTTAAAAATTAATTGTCTCATATTTTATCGAATTTTACTTGCATTGTCATAATCATCATTACAAAATTCTAATGAATAATCCAATAAATCTTAATTTCTATACTTACTTAAACTTGAGCATCTAAATTAATTAAGTTAGAAGTTTTTTGCTTTTCGCGTCTGCTATAAATTACAGATACCTACCTCAACTCGTAAACCTAAAAAACGTGATTCATTCAAAATATACAAGGTATTGACACTCGGGCGTCGATTTAAATCATTCATTCATAATTCATTCACGTACAAAAATGAAATCTCTACGAGATGTTTGCAGCTCACGAATGTATTTTTTAGTTAGATGAATTGAATTTATATTTCCATTGCAACAACTAGGCGCCAAAGTTAATCGGTAAAGGCCAAGGGAGCGTGCCACCATAACGGAGCAGCTGTACTGCCTATTGTTAGTGTCGTGCAATAGTATTTTACAATTAATATGAATAAAATGAACTTTATTGCAATGCAGCTATGGTTAAATGGAGCGCACAGGTAAGTTTGCGAGTTTACCACCTTTGATACGTCACGTAGCGTCATGAATGGGATGCGCATGCGAGGAATGGGGTTCGGATGTGAAGTTTGTACGCTTCACATGTGTAATAAAAATTAAGAGTATAATTATAATTCATTTTTGACGTGACAACGTCTTAAATTAGGTTGCGGCTGGGAGTCACTTATGAAAAAGTGTAACGCTCGGTAACGTTACGATGAGTCTCTCGTGTTAAGTTTAAGTTTACATGTACAATGTTTTAGTAAACAAAATATATTTCTATAGTTAAAATTTGTGCAATTCTTATTTTCATTCAATTCCTTGTTCCTATTGTGCAATTTAATTATATTCATATCAATAAATATTCTACCGAGAAAAAGACGTTGTCACGTAAAATCTTCGCCCGTAAAACCGACTTTACAGGCAACCATTTTTTTTTTCCATTTTTAAATGATCCTACGGGTCAAATTCAACAATCACCACTTACTGAAATATTTAAGGATGAGTTTTCGGCAGTCCACTGAAATGAAAATTGTCTACCGAAATGGTAAAAAATGGCCACCGAAATGATACAGCCAAGAACATCGCCTTTGTAGTAGAAGGGTACCCTATTTTGAATTTAAATAAATTTCCTTATTAAATATTTTTGTTCATTATTTTTTAAATAAGAATTAATAATGAAGAATTAATTAATTGTTACTGCTATTAATTATTATTACTAATTATAATTATTAATATGTACATTTTCAAAATAACGAACAAAGCGCGTTTAGAAAGCGAGAAGTTTATTAGTTAGTAAATACTCCCTTTAGTGCCAAAACCGATTATCTGCACTTTTCCGCTACTGAACTTTTATAATACCAATCGACCCGTCTCATTAAGCCGCATCTACAGGTAAAACCTATTATGCTCTACAACGCATACTTCCTGAAAAAGCTAATGAATAAACAGAATAACTGCAAATTATTTCCAAAATTCTTGATTTAAAACCTAATAAACCCATGCAAAACACTTAAGTTTGTAAATGTATTACCGCTGAAACCAAGTTTCGGATTTAAACTCATTTTTCATGTAGACATTTAGAGTAAATATCCTGTGAGTATCCTGTAATTGACTTTGACTGTTTGAATTTTTCCAGATATTTTAATTTTACTAGATGAAGTAAAAACTAACAAGTCTGTCGCTTTTTGCAAAAAAATATATATAATATGTTTGCGTTATATTTGAGGCAAGTAAAAGAGGATAGACCAAATCGATCGACAGGTGACCCTCTAGCGTACGTGACATATATCTGGGATGAGACTATCGATAAGCGAGGTGAGTCTTTGGCTATCAGCCTTAACATCGCCAAAGCTTTGATAGGGTCTGGCACATAAGTCTTATCTCCAAGCTTCTTGGATACGGTCTGCCTACTCAGTTCTGTGCCTGAGTAGCTGACTTCTTGCATGAGCGTCAACGGACGGCGACGGATGTAGTTCGCAGTTCATGTCAGTGAATGCCGGTGTTTCTCAGGACTCCGTCCTATCCCCTACACTTTTTTTGCTGCATTCAATGATTTAATTCCTCTTGAGAATATTCATTGCTATGCAGACGATAATACAGTGCATGCGGGATATTTTGGACACGCAGCCGCTGGACAGGTAGAAACCAAAGAGAAACGGGAGAATCTTGTCATTGTACTCTATCAAGGACCGCATTTCGGAATGCGGTACCAAGAACTTGGTTGAGTTCATTGCCGAGAAAGCCCAGGTCTGCGCTTTCACGGTAAAACTAACGTTTTTTCACGCCTGAGCAACTGTGCTTGTTGTACATGATGATGTTGTACATGAATATTGTTCGCACCCCAGAGGATGGCTCCGCCAAGTACTTTTTTGATGCTTTGGATAGGTTATGGCGGCGCGCGATCCGCATTATTGGCGATAAGAAGGTGACTAAACACCTCGAGCCTTTTCAATTACGCCGTGATGTGGCGTTATTAAGCGCGTTTTATCGTCTATACCATAGCGCATGTTTTGAGGAGTTATTGTCCCTTAACCTACCTTCCCCTTTCCTACAGAAGTCTACACGCGCTGGCTTACGTTGTCGCCGACTTACTGTGAACTACTATTCTCACTAAAGAAAATATAACTAGAAAAAATTCCACGCGGACCAGGCAGCAGACGGGACTCGAACCCGCACCCTTCGCAATCCGGGCGAATGCACTGACCAATTATGCTACCGCGGCCCTCACGGACCGCGTCGAAATTCTTTCTAGCTATTCTTAAGCTGCAAGGCAGCGCCATCTCTTCGCATTATAGGTAAACCCACAATGTCAAATGAATACTTTTACAAGTATTAAACATTTGAAAGAAGAAATAGCAATTATAGTTATAATTTAAATTTTTTAAATGAAGCTTTTATTTAAATGCACTAAAAAGGATAAAATAAAATATAGTTTTTATTTTTTAAAGCAAATTTTTGTAACTGCTCGATGTTTAAGTCTAAAGAAAATATTACTAGAAAAACTTCCAGGCCGACCAGGCAGCAAACAGAACTCGAAACCGCACCATTCGTTATCCGGGCGAATGCACTGACCATTATGCTACCGCGGCCATGATGGCCGTGTTGAATTCTCTCTAGCCTTTCTTAAGCTCTCCTTTAAAAAGTTCGTGCGGGTTCGAGTTTTCGGCTGCGAAGCTATGCTATAACTTATGGCCGGCGAAGATTTAGGACTCTTGTCCACGGAAGACAAAAGTCCCTGAATCGTGAAAAAACTGTGTGAAGTCCTCGGCGGGACTTGTCACGGGCTCAACGCACACGATGAGTGCATACTTTGTTCCCCGGATTTTTTTAAAAGCGCACGTTATGGAAGTAGGTTTATTATATTCTCATATTACGTTGTGTTGTGATTAACATGTTGTGTGTGCGTTGCTACTCACACAGTGAACTTTCGTCACATGTTTTTTTTTCGTAGGACTCCATCGTATTTTTGTCCTGTCCCGTCACTCAGTGTCCTAGGTTGATCGGGGGACATTTTGTACGCGGTATTTTTAATCCTTCATCTATTACGGCGGACAGAAGTCCCTCGTCTGTTCTGTGCAGGGAATTTTTCATAAACGCCGGAACTGGTTACAAAAAAGGTAATTAGTGTTTTTCTGTCGAACCCGGTTTTGCAAAATCGTTTCCAAAACGGCCGTACCCCATGCTGACGCGCACATGGTTTCATTTCAACCCGCCCTCTGACCAATATCCTGGAGACTTCAAGATATGTGTTGGTGATAGGTGTAGGAGTATTGTCAAAGGTTTTAGTAGGTAGGATCCTGCTTTCGGGCGCGTCTGTGTTCCGATGCGTCCTCGCCGAGGGAGAGAGCTTGAGCTCCCACGTAGAGGGGCAAGGACATCGCAGGGCGGGGCCGTGGTAGAAGTTGGTATAGCTAGGTAAGGCTAAGGTATAGCTAGAGCCCACGGTTTTACTCGCCCACCTGCGTGAGGGGACACATTGGGGTTTTAGCCGGTAGCAGTTCGGCATAACCCTCCGTCTCCCTTTCGGCGGGCGGTAACCATGATGGATTTCCCTAAGAAAAAAAAAGGTAGGATCCTGCCTTTTTTTTTTCTCGAGTCCTCGAGCTAGACGAAATTAGAAGGGAGGATTTTCACACATAATATTTTGTTAGTTTATGTTTTTAACAGTTGTATTTGAATAAACTTCTAATTAATAAAATTATATTCTTTCTTTAGTGCTAAAAAATACGGATGGAATAGACAAGATTTATAGGATTATTTATTACATTTTTGTAACGATGATTATGATAATGCAAGTAAAATTCAATAAAATATGAGAAGAAGTAATTCTTCCAATAGGTTTTTTTTTAAATTTATTTATTTAATCTTTATTGCCTTCACAATAGATGAAAGCATATTGAGAAAGCTCACGAATTATGTTTAATGCCAAAAACTCCAAGAAAACACATTTCGATGTAACAAAATATATAAGTTGAGGCTGTATGGAGTATATTTAGTATCTTTTAGTTTTCATTGATTGGCAGAATATTACAAAAAAAAAACTGTCACTGTCACAATTGACATCGGAAGAATCCTTGTTTAAATTCTCTTTGCCTTTGATTTGACATTTAGATAACCAAAAAATTCAAAAACATTTATGCACAAATTTAACAATGCCAGGTGCTTTTTCTGAAATTATAGACGATATTGAGGATTTAATATCTTCACAAGATATAACGCCAAAAGAAAGATATGCTAGTAGAAAAAATGTGAGTGTGAGATCTCGCAAACGGGACACGAAAGACGATACACAGGTTGCAGAAAAGGTTATTTTGGAGAGTGTTGTTCCAGGTAAAATCTGTTTAGCCGTCTTTCTTTTGTGTTTATGTGATACTATATAGATGGATCTTTTCCCATAAACAAAACAGTGCAAGTGTATAAGTAACATCCAGTTACTAAAAGCTTTCGGCTTCAATAAACGTGACATAAAATAATAACAAACCTAATCAAGCATATGGATATGAACTGGAGCTGGACTGTCTACGGGGCATATTATTTTATTAAATGATATTGTTATATGCCCAAAGATAATGGATTTGCGGCATTTTATAAACAGTTAAGATGTTTTGAACATGTTTTAGGTACTCAAACAATATATGTAAAGACATGGGGCTGTGCACACAACAACTCCGACTCGGAATACATGGCCGGCTTGCTGGCGGCCCAAGGTTATCGACTCACTGAGGACAAGTTGCAAGCACAGCTTTGGTTGCTCAACTCTTGCACCGTTAAGAGCCCAGCCGAAGACCACTTCAAGTAATTTATTCATGATTTTGATCATATATTGATATGAGATATTTGTTAATTATTATTTACTGGACTTAATGCAATAATTAAAAATAATTCTAAATGGCTTAATATATCCAGCAAAAATAATAGATGTAAATACCATTTTTATGGAGAGACATAGAGTATTATACCTTCGTACCTGACATAAGTGAAGTAGTTCTATTCACAATAACCAGCCATCAATATTTCTTAGATTTTGTCACAATTCTTTGGTTTTATTTTAGCCATTAATAATATAAGTATGGATTACTACTAATAAAAATAATGTTTGAATATTTCATGTAAATATAACTAAATATTATAAAAAAATATTTTGGCCAAATCTTGTAACTGCGATGGAAGAGTGGCAACTCCAGCTACAAATATCACTATATTTAAAGGAGGGGACCAAAAATGATATAAGATGAAATAGATTCAGTTTAAGAAAATATTTGTATTTTATTTTATTATTTTAATTATGCTTGTTCATCTTATTTTTGAGTTCCTATTGGAATGTGAGCTCAGATCTGATTGGTCCATAGGAAGGTCAAAGATTTAGTAGATGATGAAAACTGGTTTTATTTATATTATCTGTTACCATTTCAAAATCATTACAGTTATATTTTTTTTAATATGATAACAGACAGACAACTAACATTACAAGGCCCATTGTATCATCATTCCATTAAAAAAAAATACTTATATATATAAAAACTTATATTGATGTGGCAACATATTTGGGATTACAATCTAGTATGTAAACTATAGAAATCATTCTTGTATAGTTATGATTTTAATTGTTGTCTGTCTTGATGCCCATAATATAAATAAATGAGACAGTTTGCATGTTTGTAACTCAATCTTGCAAAAACTATTAAATGGATTTGGATGAGATCTGGTATGTTATACTTTATGACCTGGATTAAGACATCAAATACTAGGTGTTAAAATGTTAGGTTCCTGAGGGATATGATTTTATTTATTTTTAAGCATTTAACTGCTAGATGTTTAAATGTAAAGAAAAGTTTACTAGAAATTTTTCTTTTTTTTTTCTAGTAAACTTTTCTTTAGATTCCTGAGGGATACTCAAAAAACTTAAGTTGACTCTGGTGTAATAATAAATAAATAAATATTTCCAACACTTGCACCAATTAGCCTAGCTCCAAAGTAAGCACTGTAAGGCTTGTGTTATGGGATACTAGGGTAAAGGATAGAATACATAATACTGATACATACAAAAGTATATTTATTCAGAAATACATATTAAATATCCAGGACTAGAGTACAAATGCTCGTAGTCATCACACAAACATCTGCCCCCACCGGCATTTGAACCCAGGACCTCTCGAGTAGGCAAACCTTGAAACCCGGTGTACAAACCACTCGGCCACCGAGTGATTGTCAAATAAATGTATTGTAACTAATTAAATTCCCCAGGAACGAGATTGAGTTGGGCCACAGTCGGGGCATCCACGTAGTGGTGGCTGGTTGCGTGCCGCAGGGAGCGCCGCGGTCTGGGTACCTGCGCGGCCTCAGTGTCGTGGGCGTGCACCAGATCGACAGGATCGTTGAGGTCGTTGAGGAGACACTTAAAGGTAACATCCATTAGATATGATACAGAGAAACGTTTTCACGGCAATTTCAATTTGAATTTTTGGCAACTCTTTCGTCCTAGGTGTACTGGATTCTTGTATACAGTAATAGCATGTATGATCTGTTTGACCGAAACAAATAACTGAATCTATTCAATACACAGGTCATACGGTCCGCTTATTCGGCCAAAGGAAAACCGAGGAAGGTCGTAAAGCGGGTGGCGCATCTCTTCAACTGCCTAAAGTCCGCAAGAACCCACTAATTGAGATCATACCCATCAACACTGGGTGCTTGAACCAGTGCACTTATTGTAAGACGAAACATGCGAGAGGAGAATTAGGCAGCTATCCGCCTGAAGAAATCGTGGAGAGAGCCAGACAATCCTTCAAGGAAGGCGTCGTTGAGATTTGGCTGACAAGCGAAGACACCGGTGAGATGCTTAGAATACTCTTTTTTACCAATCTTTCAGTTGCGCTCAGTATTGGTCAATAGGGGTGATGACGGGGTACAGTAAACGAAATTCTATTTAGTCCGTCAGTTAGATGATCAAAAAATAATGGACACGTATTTTTTCTTTGGGCAATCAACCAAAAAATGACAAAGTTATAGCGCGTCAAAGTTTGGGAGTAGGGGCTCGTGACGTCACTTCTGAGTGAATTTTCACTTATAAATGTACTCAAACGTGACATCATACGACTTTTCAAATCAATATATCTCTGTAATGTTTATATTAGGTGAAAAAAGGAAAAATACGTGTTCAATACTTTTTGATAATCTACCTGATAAACGAAGAAAAAAAATTAGTCATCATCCCTATTGATTTTAAAGTTTTCTTAATTAGCATGTCGTCATAATCATCGACATAACTCAGCCATACACTGTCTACTGGTGATCAAAGATGGGACTCCCTCAAAGATCTCAATGCTGATTGGTCCTTTTATATATCTGAAGGTCTGTTACAGACATAAAGAATGGACTGAGCGACAGTGTCATAAAATAGACATATTTTTAGAAAGAGGGGCAACTAATGCTTAAATGGACTATTGACTGCACAATCTCTTTGTTTGACACATTTTCCAGCAGTTTGATTTGACAGTTGGATAGAAACACTCAAGCCTGGGAGAAGAGAGAATCTCTCAAGGTTTAGCGACTGAGCTTCTTCTTCTTAATCATCATTTGAGAAGCTTTCCGACTCAATGGCTATCAGCAGGTCTATTATATCTTACTTGCAACTGATATGCAAATTAGTGTGCTTTCCTTTATTGGAAATATTTATTCCTAACAATCATACCAATTTAGTGTAATGACTAACTGGACCGCATGGAATTTTTTCTAGTAAGATTTTCTTTAGATTTCTAAATCTAGCAGGTAAATGCCGGATATGGAAATATAATATTTATTTTTTTAGCATTCAACTGCTATTTAAATCTAAAGAAATATTCCTAGAAAAAAAAGCCACGCGGACCAGGCAGCAGACGGGAATCGAATCAACATTTTTTTTTGTTTAGATTTAAATATCTAGCACTTGAATGCTTGAAAAATAAATAATATAACTACAATTGCTTTTTCTCCCAAATGTTTAATACTTGTAAAGGTATTCATTTGACATTGTGGGTTACCTACAATGCGAAGAGATGGCGCTGCCTTGCAGCCTAAGGCTAGAGAAATTTCGACGCGGCCGTCAGGGCCACGGTAGCATAATGGTCAGTGCATTCGTCCGGATAGCGAAGGGTGCGGGTTCGAGTCCCGTCTGCTGCCTAGTCCGCGTGGATTTTTTTCTTGTAAAATTTTCATTAGATTTAATATTTATTTATTTATCTCCAGGCACATATGGACGCGATATAGGCACCTCATTGCCCGCTCTACTGCGTCAGCTGGTAGAAGTGATTCCTGAGGGATGTCGCTTAAGACTGGGCATGACAAACCCACCATACATTTTGGAGCATTTACCCGACGTGGCCGAGATTATGAGGCATCCTCGAGTATACAAGTGAGTATATTATGTGATTCGAAAGAGATTTCATGAGTTATCTCATATTGAAGTCAGTTTTTCAATTTGACGACTCTGTATATAATACTAATAATAGGAGCTCGATGGCGCAAGTGGTTAGCGCGTTCGGCTGCGATCATTGAATTTAAGCAACTTTCGCAGTGGGCGGTCATTGGATGGGTGACCAAAAATCTTCTATCTCATTAATGTCCCCACTGCTGGGGCACAGGCCTTCCCTATGGACGGAATAGGGAGATAGGGCCATGACCCACCACGCGGGCCCAGTGCGGATTGGCGGGTGCTAACGACTGCAGATGCAGCCGGGACCAACGGCTTAACGTGCCTTCCGAAGCTCGGAGGAACTCGAGATGATATCAAGGGTTTTGTATTCGGGATTTCAGAAAACTTTTGCAAAATGCTTCTTTGTTACCTACTAGCTACTTTGTTTAAAGTAGTGTATGCAACTGAATATAATTTAGGTATTAAATACCCTAAATACACCAACACGAACAAAATCGTGCCCAAAACCTGTCCAAAAGGTACATTGAACGATCCACAATAGCACTACAATCTAGCGGTCTTCAAAGCAAGAGTGAACCGGTTTTTATTAGGTAAGCGCGCTCCATCGTAGACCATAATATTGCTTTCCATCAGGCGAATTATGGTCAAGCGCTTACCTATTACCGAATAAAAAAAAAACACGGAGCTCTATAAGATGATCGCGTAGTCAAAATCAATATAAGGCATTATTTAAATATTGAAAGTAACCTTTAATAGATACTGTATAAGGTCTTAAATAAAACGCATGCGTCAAGGACTTCTGACAGTTCGAAATGCAAGCTCGTAAAATTTTACGACTTATTGCTATATGCGGAAGAATTAAGACCTTAGTTCTTTGATCTATGCGCAATTCTGAACGCGCTGTTAGCAATATAGCAGGCTCGGACCGCGAGAAAAAGAAACGGCTATATGGCGACGTATAACCGACCATGCATTTGAATATCACAAATATTTTATATATTTTATAGTAAGTATTAGATCAAAATTTACTGCAAATGCGTTAAATTAACAAATATTGACTAGATACCTGTCGAAGAAACGACACTTTTCGTACTCTTAAGTATTATTTTCGCATTTTTTCGCGGAGCTCTGTGGCATCTTGACTTTGTTTGTAACATTCCGCGCGTGACTGTGAACCAAGAAGTGCTTGAGTGGAGTTCAAGCACTTCTTGATTGGGACACATTTTGAGCGCTCGTGGTGTATCTAGGGTATTTAATATTGTTGATTAAAACACTCGGGAGTCGATCTATTATCGCATCACCGATAAACAGACTCTCGTGTTTTAATACTTTGTTATATGACAGACGCCTATACTACTGTTATTTAATCTGAATTTCTTAGGCTGCTGAATATTTATTGCGCATTTGTCGCAGATTCCTCCACGTTCCCGTACAATCTGGCAGCGACCAGGTGTTAGCTGATATGAAGAGAGAATATTCCAGGAAGGAGTTCGAGCACGTCGTGGACTATCTCAGGGAAAAGTGAGGGCCCGTTTGATATTATTAGTGATTAAGTAATGTGAGGAGCTCGATGGCGCTAGTGGTTAGCGCGTTCGGCTGCGATCGTCGAAGTTGAGCAACTTTCGCAGTGGTCGGTCATTGGATGGGTGACCAAAAATTTACTATCTCGAGCTCCTCCGTGCTTCGGAAGGCACGTTAAGCCGTTGGTCCCGGCTGCATCTGCGGTTGTTAGCACCCGCCAGTCCGCACTGGGCCCGCGTGGTGGGTCATGGCCCAATCTCCCTATTCTATCCATAGGGAAGGCCTGTGCCTCAGCAGTGGGGACATTAATAGGCTGATGATGAAGTAATGGCCGATGCGATTAGATGTTTTGATTAATTTGAGAATGATTACCGATTTCATCCAACTTTTTTTTTACATGATAGGTAGTGCTGCAGTCACACTTTATGATTATTTAAAAATATTGTTTATAAAGAAAGAAAGGCAGAAATTTGATTGACCTTAAACACATATATTCAAAAACAGACAGGCCGACTAGGTCCCTACCTCAGCTTAATACTACAGCAACACCAGGGCTGCTGCAGCGCTGTTAATTCTGGCAGGGCCTAAGCTTCACGTGACATTTTTTAATATAATAATAAAATAGAAGAATAAGCACCAGCACCATACCAATTAACATAACAAAAAAAAAATAACAACATAGGCTGAATGGTTGCATTATCTTAAGCCTTAAAACAAGTGAAATGAATTTAAAAAAAAGTAAGATTAATCTATGACAAGCTAGAACTTACAGTAACCAAAACTAAAGTCAAACAATATTTTTTTTTATAAATAACATTTATATAAATTTTAACAACTTATTGTTACCGATGACAACGAGTAAATGATTTGATTAATTGATTGAAAAAACACAAAGAAATAATAAGTTACATTCAGTTGTTAAACAGAAAAAAAGTTTATCGAACAAGACAAAGTTTGCCAGGTCCGTTAGTTAATATTATTTTTATTCTTGCTTTTATTTGCAAACCAATGGCGTAGCTTGCAACTTCACATGTGCTTGTAAAGTCTAAAGGAAATAGGTTGAATTTGAGTCAAAAGTAAATTTTGCTAGAAAAACTTCCACTCGGTTCAAACATCAGACAGGAATCTAACCTACACCTTCGACTATTCAATCGAGCTGATTTAATAAACATATTTAGCAGTTTAATGCTTAAAATCTAATTATAGTTAATGCTCGTGTCACATTGTTTAAAACCAATCTTCTACGAAACGGCTTGACCGATTTCTAATAATAATGCCCGTGTAATATTGTTTAAAACCAAACTTCTACGAAACGGCTTGACTGATTTCTAATAATAGTTAATGCTTGTGTCACATTGTTTAAAACCAAACTTCTACGAAACGGCTTGACTGATTTTTAATAATAGTTAATGCTTGTGTCACATTGTTTGAAACCAAACTTCTACAAAACGGCTTGACTGATTTCTAATAATAGTTAATGCTTGTGTCACATTGTTTGAAACCAAACTCATACGAAACCACTTGACCGATTCTTATGAACTTTTCTATGTATATTCAGTAGGTCTGAGAATAAGACGTAAATTATTTGTCATATCACTAAGTAACAAGAGGGGTCCTAGCAACGATATTAAATACCTTAGATATAACAACACAAACAAAATCGTGGCCGAAACCTGTCCAAAAGGTACATTGGACGATCCACGGAGCTCCGTAAGATTATTGCATTGTAAAACAATATAAGGCATTATTTAAACATTGAAAGTCACCTATAATGCATACTGTATAAGGTGTTTATTAAAACGCATGCGTCAAAGAGATACCACAGTTCGAGTTCATGCAAGCTCGTAAAATTTTACGACTTATTGCTATATGCGGAAGAATATAGACCTTATATCTTTGACTCTACGCGCAATTCTGAATGCGCTGTTAGCAAAATAGAAGGTATGAACAGCGAGGAAAAGAGACGGCTATATTACTGACCATGCATTTGAGAAGCACAAAATATTTTGTATTAAATCAGTTTATAGTAAGTATTAGAACAAAATTTGTTTCAAATTTGTTAAATTAATAAACATTGATTAAATACCTATCGATAAAACTATAAGTTTTGTGTTCGTATTTTTTCACGGAGCTCTGAGGCATCTTTACTTTTCAACGGTCCGCGCATGACTGTGAATCAAGAAGTGCTTGAGTGGCATTCAAGCACTTCTTGATTGGGACACATTTTGAGCGCACTTGGTGTACTATCGTTGGATTAATTCCTCCATTGCAGCGTTCCCGGCATCACTATAGCGACGGACATAATCTGCGGCTTCCCCACGGAAACGGAACGGGACTTCCAGGATACCATGTCGTTGTGCCATAAGTACCGATTCCCGTCGTTGTTCATCAACCAATTCTTCCCAAGACCGGGAACACCGGCCGCTAATATGCAGAGGGTGAGAATTTATTTATTTATAGACACAAAACATTACATTCCTTTTTTGGAAAGTCGAGTAAAAACAGATGACAGTCGACAGTAAATAGAGATACAAAACATTTCACTCGTTTTTTGTACTTTGGGGTAAAAATAGATGACAGTCAATAGTTAGTAGAGATACAAAACATTACACTCTTTTTTTGTACTTTGGGGTAAAAACAGATGACAGTCAACAGTAAATAGAGATACAAAACATTACACTCTTATTTTGTACTTTGGGGTAAAACAGATGACAGTCAACAGTAAATAGAGATACAAAACATTACACACTTTTTTTGTACTTTGGGGTAAAAACAGATGACAGTCGACAGTATATAGAGATACAAAACATTACACTCTTTTTTGTACTTTGGGGTAAAACAGATGACAGTCAACAGTAAATAGAGATACAAAACATTACACTCTTATTTTGTACTTTGGGGTAAAAACAGATGACAGTCGAGAGTAAATAGAGATACAAAACATTACACTCTTATTTTGTACTTTGCGGTAAAAACAGATGACAGTCGACAGTAAATAGAGATACAAAACATTACACTCTTATTTTGTACTTTGGGGTAAAAACAGATGACAGTCGACAGTAAATAGAGATACAAAACATTACACTCTTTTTTTGTACTTTGGGGTAAAAACAGATGACAGTCGAGAGTAAATAGAGATACAAAACATTACACTCTTATTTTGTACTTTGCGGTAAAAACAGATGACAGTCGACAGTAAATAGAGATACAAAAATTTCACTCCTTTTTTGTACAAACAAACAACTGTATGTTAAAGTGACCGACAGTCAACTTGCTTCGCTCGTTTGCGAAATCTTATGTTGTTATCTGTCGTGGTGTCTTACAGATACTAGTTATTTTTTTTATATATTGTATACGTGTCACTTTTTATATAAGGTCAAAGTCATTCTTTCTTTATTGTAACCACAGACCAATAAAAGGACAAGCTGTTTTAACCGACCACAGATTACAAACTTTTGTTATAATAACACTACCTTTTGGTAAAACACGGTAAAGTGACACTCTGTCTCCAAGTGTCTGCATAGAAATTCTATAGATTTTCACGATAGTATAATGCGATTCAAAAAAGAATAGGAAAGCCAATGACCTCCATCTGTCAAATGTCGCCTGAAAAGTACGGTTTGCAAAAAAATCTCGGAACACTTTTTTAGCACTTAGCTGATTCTAGAATAAAAACCAAACATTTTTAAACAAACAATAACAAATGTTGATAATTAATATTAGTTTTTTTTCATTTATTTAGCTTTGGCTATAAATGGTTGATAACCTAAATCGTCAACCAAAGGTCACTTTATGTTGCGTTCAAAAACTCGATTTAAAACTTTCGTTTACATATAGGATGCATGTTCGTATGTGACCTGCATGATTATTCATAACTTCTCCGGCGGTAATGCAGAGTTGAGCAAAATTAAAGAGATAGATTCTTATTAATGTTTTTTTTTCACACAGTCTTAATAAAGAAATACAATTAAATATCGATTGTGTTCTTCCTCAAACTTAGTAAATTAATTTTATTAAAAAATCTGATGTTTTGTCTCACTTAATCTTAGTAAATAAGATTCATTAAATAGCAACATTTTTTGCTCACTCTACCTATTTGGTTTGAATTGACAGCTATGACGTCAAAATATGGCGCCCAGTCGATCCTATTCTTAGTTGAATCGCATTATAGTACCAAAATTACCTAATTATTACTTAAATGCACTGAAGTCTATCAAATATTAATTTATCGTGCTGCCTGGTCCGCGTGGTTTGTTTCTAGTTACATTTTCTTTAAATTTAAACATCTAGCAGTTACATACTTAAAAAATAACAAATATTATATATAAAATTCTCGTGTCACAGTGTTAGTTACCATACTCCTCCGAAACGGCCTGACCGATTTTTATGAAATATTATAAGCATATTCCATGGGTCTGAGAATCGGCTACTATCTATTTTTCATATCCTTAAGTGATAATGGTTGTCCACCTGTAACGTAGTGTTCTGAAACCTACAATGCGCCTTCGCGCCAAAATTCAAACTATTGGGTATTGCAACTTAGTGTTCTCATAAGGGTCAGGAGGAATGCTATCCCAGGAAATTGATTGAACACTACGTTACACACCCTTAAACATTTTTTTGGACAATATTTATTTTTTTATAATGTGGTATTAAAAAATACATACAACCCTTAATTGTCACTCTTCTACCACCTGCCCCTATTTTTATGGCGGTACGAAGTTCGCTGTGTCAGCTAGGGGCCGTTCAAGTATTACGTAAGCAGATTTATTACAATTATTTACCCCCTCCTCCCCCTTGTCAGCAAAAGTAAGCAAAGCTCTTACCCCCCCATCCTTACGTAAACATTGGTACCTTTGTACATTTTTCCTTTAATGTATTCTGTTTATTTATTGATTTATGAGCTTTCATGAGCTTCATGAGCAGCAGTACTTAAAAAGCTTAATCGATGATGCTGACGTAATCACCATCTCTACCCCCCCCCCCCCCCCCCCCTGTCATCAAAGATAAGCAAAGCGAAGACCCCCCTGCCCCCCTATAGTGCTTACGTAATACTTGAACAGCCCCCTAGTATAAATATTAAGGTTTCAGAACACTACGTTAATTAATGATAAATCCACAGGTACCCGGGCAAGAGGTGAAGAAACGCACCAAAATGCTGTCGGAACTGTTCAGATCCTACGAGCCGTATGGCCACAAAGTAGGCGAGATTCAAGAGGTTTTAGTAACTGACATATCGCATGACAAGAACTATTTCGTCGCCCACAACGAATATTACGAACAGGTCCTCGTACCAAAAGAAGATAAATACATGGGAAAAATGTTCACAGTTAAAATAACTAGCGCTAGCAAATTCTCCATGATTGGCGAACCCATAGACAAACCAAAGATGCCCGGTCTAACTGCACCCTTAAAGAAAGGAGAAGTTTCCGGTGTCTATGCTCGGGGAATAGACAATAAAGTGAAGATACCGATCCCTCTTTTGGTAGCTGCGTTCGCGTTGCTATTAAGGATAATTTGGATGTTTTTATAGTTGTTTTATTGTAATATAATTATTTGTAAGGATGAAAAATGATTTATTTTTATACTTACCACCTTCACAGCCATATTTGATTTTTCTAAGATATGTTTATTTGTGTTTTTATTTTTTAAGCATTTAACTACTAGATGTTTATATCTAAAGAATGGTTTACTAGATTTTTTTCTAGTAAACTTTTCTATATTTATTTATCCAAAATGTCAATTACCTGCACTTATTTTTGACGTGGATAAGAGTTAATAAAAAGTCTCCATAATATTTAGAAACATTGATATTAATAATAATCACTGCTTTTTCGATAAACTGGGTCTCAATTCTGATAGGCAGGAGTAATTAATTATTTTGGGATGTCCCAAGACTTTGCCACATAGAGGGAAAGTACCTTAATTACTGTTGATAGAAAATTTTACTGAATGTTGAGACGATCTATATCTTAAAGACAAAACGAAATGCCATTATCGAAAATGAATCGGCTGTCTGAACTGAGTCGAACCCGCTAAATGAGAAAAAAAAAAACCTATAATTTTACAGTACTGAATAAAAGAATGAATATTAATATACATCTTCCCGTTTCTTCTTAATAACATAGCATCTACAATAAATATAAGGTCATATATATATAATATTTTCTTATCATTTTCATCAACACATATGAAGATTATTCTGGAAAAATCTTTAAAAGTAATAATAGCAATATAAGTTTTTTACGGGATTGTTACCATTTACCTTGTTTTTAGCGAGTCTCTGATATTTCGGCACTGTTGCAAGCGCCATGATCACGGAGTAACTGAAGTAATTGCGGGTAGATGTTATTGGCAGACATATGGGCCTACCCTCCGACGAAGTCTTTTATTGCGTTCGATACCCGTACCACTGTTCACATTCTCACTATTCACTCGGAACTGTTTTCGACACACAACGCTTACAGTATCGGATCGCGACATAATACCTTTTTGATTATTTCGGTTTTTACACATACGAACCACAGGATGCCAGACAAATAGACAATTTAAACCCGTCCTCACGATTGAAATTTTTATGTTTTGGTATTTGAAATAACAAGTTAAGTTTTGATAAATTATTTCAATCGCTTTCCTGACTAATCTTGGTATGAAGTGGCGTTCTGTCGAGATAATCTGTGGGTTATGGATCTCAATCCAGTGGTTAGGACCAGAAACAATCAAATCTTCCGCGATGGTTGATTTCTGCGTATCGTTGTTCATGATTGCCTTCATGTGTTCCCTCATTCGGCAATAGTGTCGAAATATCGGAAAATCACTTAAAGCAAGGTACATAGTAACAATCCCGTAAATCTATATATATAAAACTCAAAGGTGACAGACTAACATAGTGATCTATCAACGCACAGCCCAAACCACTGGACGGATTGGGCTGAAACTTGGAATGCAGGTAGATGTTATGACGTAGGTATCCGCTAAGAAAGGATTTTGATCAATTCTACCCCCAAGGGGATAAAATAGGGAATGAAAGTTTGTATGAAACTTTGTCAATTTTAAACCGATCTGGCTGAGACTGCATTGAGGTATAAGAAGAATCATAGATGAATGTCATTGGTGTCGATTCTAGCGTGATTCTCTAAACCTAAACTTAAATTTGACAGCAGTATATCCTTGTCATTCTCCATACAGAATGAAAAGGAGAGACTGATGTTAAATTTAGTTTTAAGTTTAGAGAATGACGCCAGAATTGGCACCAGTGTGTATAATACAAGCCTGAGAACAAAAACTGTAGTCTACACTTCAGCTCTACACCGAATCGAGGCGAGGGCGGGCCGCTAGTAACTTATATTACTATAATGTTAGTGACCATGAAAGTTTAAAACAATATATCTTCAAAAGTAAGTTACATTAAGTAGGTCACATTCACACATAAGAAGCAAACTCAATTTTTCACAAACTCGTTTTAAAACTTTTATGAAAATAATGAAAGAGTGTTGAGCTACACAAACAAACAAACCAAATCATTGTGTGGATCTAGTTTGAAACAATAGCGCGGTACGGTCGGGCGGGTCTTTTCATAGCATGTTATATAATGGTGGCGCGCGGTCGCCAACGGGTCTGTGGTTGTTTGTTCGTAGCTGTGACTGTCAGTATGGCGGGATATAACCAGCCAGGGGGTAAAAGGCAGAAGGTGAGGGAAGTCAGACCGGGAGATAACGTGGATTACTTTCAGGGTGAGTAGAAAAGTGACAACAAGAATTATACTTATCTTCTTTGAATGTAGCATTGTTTATTGCATTGCATTGTTTAACAAAGTTCCCCAAGATCTGATTGAGCTTCCACTAACCAAATTTAAATCTCAGATTAAGAATACTCTTATGAATAAGGGCTATTATAAAGTTAATGATTATCTAAATGATCGAAATGCATGGACGGATGAAGAAACACTATTTCTTGTAATTTGTTATTTGATGGGTATGAGTCAGTTCGTTTTTGAAACAGTAATATGGTACCTATCTAATGCCGCTTCCTATATACTAAATATAAAATTTATTGTAACTATATATCTATATCCTTAATAATGTAATGGAAGGTGACTTCAGATGTATCTCTGAAATCATTTTTCAACTTGACGACTCTGTATATATCAATACAGGGAGAAAAAAGCAGCCCTTGCTGAGTTTCTTGCCGGTTCTTCTCAGTACAAGGTCTCCCGCCGTAGTTTTGCGAACCGATGGCGTAGCTTCTTGACCTTCACAAGTGTTTGTAACAGCCTAGACTGAATAAATGACTTTTCATTTTCATTTTCATTTAAGGAAAAACTAGCGGCCGCCCGCTACTTCGTACGCGTGGAGTTATAAATAAATAAATATTTCCAACACTCACACCAATTAGCCTAGCCCCAAAGTAAGCACTATAAGGCTTGTGTTATGGGATGCTAGGGTAACGGATAGAATACATAAACTGTACATATATAAGTATATTTATAAAGAAATAGATATTAAACATCCATGACTGGAGTACAAATGCTCGTATTCATCACACAAACATCTGCCCCCACCGGGATTCGAACCCAGGACCTCTGGAGTCGGCGACACCATGAAACCTGGCGTTTCATGGTGTTATTTGCACATACTTTTGACCCCAAAATGGGGTTTATTTCTAAAGATACATTATTAGTACACAACTACACCATCTATAGAGCATACATGTTAAATTTCAAGTCTCTTACTTCAAAAACATAGGACTTTCATATAAACTTCCAACCCCCGTATTACCTACCCACTTAGGGGTGGAGTTTCGTGATAATATGTAGCCTATATGTTGACCCGACTTCTTAATAATATTCGTGCCAAATTTGAAGTAAATCCATGCAGTACTTCTTGAGTTTACCCCGGACATACATACAGACAAACAGACAAAAATTCTAAAAACTATATTTTTGGCTTCGGTATCGACTGTAGACCACACCCCAGGTATTCTTTTAAAAAATGTTCATTGTACAGTTTTGATTTTCATACTATTTTATTATATGTAATAGATTGTCGTCTGAAGATTTTGCTTTATAGAAAAATCAACATTTTGATGTAAGAATTTCACAGGAATATTTTTTTTTGCAGGGAATATCTCTTGCCTAAATCTCGCATCTTCTTACCGACATCAATACTTAAAGCTACGTTTGATTAAAAATCATCTTAAGCATAGATTCCAATCCAAAAGGAATATAAAACAAAAACTTTTTTCTACGTTCCTATGGCATTATTGTAGGCATAGACAAGATAGAGTACAACAACATGAGCTCCCCGAGCGACGTCTCCTCGTATCGCTTCTACAACAGCACTGAGAGGGTGCACTCGCGCGCGATGGAGGATTGGCTCAAATTCAGCGTTTCCCTCACCGAGTTCAGGAATAATGGTTAGTGGGTACCTAGATTTCATCTGCGTGGATATACTGGTTTCCCATACAAACTTGCACCTCCCCCCCTAACCCCGGTCACCTCCATAAATCAAGATTTCTAGGATATAAACTGTCTTATGGCCTTTCCCGGGACTCTACCTATCTATATACCTAATTTCATTAAATTCGGTTCAGTAGTTTAAGCGTGAAGAGGTATCAGACAGATTCATTTTCGCATTTATGATTTTAGGTAGTATGGATGAAATAGAATATTACAATATATGTATATATTTTAAGACAGTGATAAATGAATGCAAAAACTATGATGGAGCGAAAAGGGAAGTTGCAGACGAAATGGATATATTGTTTAATTTAAAGAAAAAATTACTAGAAAACATTCTCACGGAGCAGATGGGACACAAACAAACCCCGTCTGCTGCCTGGTCCGCGTGGAATATTTCCTAGTAAAATTTTCTTTACATTTCAACAAATAGCAGTTAAATGTTTAAAAAATAAAAATATAATTAGATTTTATGTTTTTTTTTTATAATGCAATCATGGTTTGCCTGATGGTAAGCGGAAGTCATAACGCTTGCGATACCAGTGTTAAATGTAAAGAAAATTTTACGTTTTACGGAACTATAAGACCTTTTATAATCATCCTCATCATCAGCCTCTTAATGTCCCCACAGTTGGGGCACATGCCTTCCCTATGGATGTACTAGGGAGATTGGGCCATGGCCCACCACGCGGACCCAGTATGGATTGGCGGGTGTTAACGACTGCAGATGCAGCCGGGACCAACGGCTTAACGTGCCTTCCGAAGCACGGAGGAACTCGAGATAGAAGATTTTTGCTCATCCATCCAATGACTTACCACTGCGAAAGTTGCTTAACTTCAACGATCGCAGCCGAACGCGCTAACCGCCTGCGCCATAGAGCTTCTCATGGCCTCTTATAAGGTGGAGAATAATTCCCCAGACGAGCGCTCCAATTCACGCGGAAAATCACTTATGCCCGACATAGTCTCATCAATTCATCCATTGGGTGGATTAAGCCACATTTTACAAACATTTTCTTTAGATTTATGATTGTAGCAATTTAATGCCTTAAAATAAAAATGTATTTACTAAAAAAATTGCTAACATCTGAGGAGCTTGATGGCGCAAGTGGTTATCGCGTTCGGCTGCGATCGTTGAAGTTATGCAGTTTTCGCAGTGGTCGGTCTTTGGATGGGTGAACAACACTTTACAATATCGAGCTCCTCCGTGCTTCGGAAGGCACGTTAAGCCGTTGGTCCCGGCTGCATCTGCAGTCGTTAGCACCCGCCAATCCGCACTGGCCCGCGTGGTGGGTCATGGCCCAATTTCCCTATTCCATCCATAGGGAAGGCCTGTGCCCCAGCAGTGGGGACATTAATAGGTTGATGATGATAATGATGAAAAAAATCATAAAAATCATCATTCTCTTAAGGATCTGACAACCATAGACCACCACACACACATCCTTGGAACGACGGTTCCAAAACCCTAGAGAACTATAAGCGCTGCATCAGAGCTCTATTCGAGTTCTGTCAGAAACTCGGCGTGAAGTACTGGACGGCTCTCGACTCGGATCTGCTGCACTGCGAGTGGTGGGACGACCCCAAACAATGGGACGATATAGTGGAGTATGTGCAGGAGTTGAGTCAGCGGTACCACGTCAAACTGTTGTGGTTGGCGCCGGATTTGCATTCACATGCTCGGTAAGCCGTTTTAAAGACATTATACATTAAATAAATGTGTTTTATTTAATTAGCGGTGTGCGTAAAAACTTAAGAATCAAATAAATCATACTGTTACGTGTCAGAATGGGGTTCAAAATAATATGCCAGTTCACGCATGACAGTTATTTATTCACCACACAGTTCACCCAGTTAAGTAACAATTTTAATCACAATACACTCGCTAACTGTACTTCACTATACAAGTATTTAAACAATCGCACTTGAACACTTTAATTGTATTTTGATCGCCTTTGTAATCGCTCCGAAATCGTCGAAACTCAACTGTCTCTGCGCGGCGCCGATCTCGGTTATATACGCCGATCGACGCATTCTAGAAAATACCCGTTAAATTGAGAGTTGACTAGCACCCGCGAGTGCGTAGTACCTACTTATACCTACGCAGGTAACGCGCATAAATTGTGAACAAGTGCAGATTCTCCGTTATCGCACTGCATAAGGCTCATATTAGAATGAGCCGCACCATTCGACCTTTATCCGCGGTGTTCTGATAAATTCGGTCTCTAGTATTTTTCGCGGTTTTGGTTGCGTTCGTGACAATACATTTATTATATTAGGTGTTTGGCTTCATATCAGGTTGACTAAACGCACTATGAGAACTATTGTGACGAAACACATTTTTGTTTCCTGATTAGCAAACACAACGTAATTGTTTTCAAGTCTTTCGTTTTTCGTCGTAAAGTCGGTGAGTTGTGGTGAGTTGACCCCAGCTATTTAGCTGTCTCTTCCACTCCCCTATCGATTGAAGTGTGAGCATGTAAGCGAAGTAAGCTTCTTCTGCAAGTTAGTTCACCTAGATGTTCGTGAATACTTGTGACAACCCACAATGTATAGAATTAAATATATAATAACTTTCTATGCGAAACCCAATATGTCATTTGTACAGTTTGTCTATAAAGTCGTGACATGAATGTTTGAGGAACTAACATTATTCATGTGTCTGGCAAGAGCAGTTGTGGAACAGTTTTCCTTTTGTATTTTTTATTGTTTGGATTAAACTGTAATAAATTAATACGAAACTACGCAGAAAGGTATAAAAATGAGTAAAGTAAAGGAGTGGCACGCGGGAAGTGATTTTTAAAGTTTTCTAGCGATGTTTCGAAGACTACCAAGCTGGACGAATTTTGTGGGATTTGGATGATGTTTATGGGTGAACAGCATCTATGACGGGTTTGTAATCGTGTAACTATTTGTTTGTAATCTGCCTGAAGTTACAAATTTACTCAATTTACGATTTTGAGACCAAAAAAGGCATTGTTTACATTGCACATTTTTAGGTTAGATTGACATTGTAAATAGGTAATATTGTAGTACGACCGTTTCTTTTGATACGTTATTATGGTTCAACTCGGACAGGTTTTCTACCAATTTTGAATTAATTGCTTCATGTCAATAAGTTATTGTTTCTATTCCGTTACATATTTTTTTTACATTTTTCAGGAAAATCAGAGAGTCGGATATTCAACGAAGGTTTTAAGAATGATGGAAAGTTTGAAACACCTGGGAAAACAGGCAAGGCCGACCAAAGAAAGAAATGGTCACATAAAGAACCATGGCCAGATGCTTTTTGTGAAGATACCTATTTTTATGTCTCTAATTAAAACTTCCAGACTAATTTCACAATGGTTTAATACTCACACTATTTATTTCTTATTTCGACAATCATCACATTTGGCGCTAAGCCCAACTCAACGGCCATTTTCCATTCTACCATCCCGAGACATATCCATAGACCAACTTACTTACTTAGCCATAGACACAGATCAATAATCAATAGATAGACTAAAAACATAACATTTTCTCCCTCTCTTAACAAAAAACAACTTTTCACAATTAATAAAATAAATCTATCTAAATTTAAAAATGCAACCACAATATTATAATAATAGACTTAGTATATTAAAGGTCCAACCTATCTGGTGGTCTTATTTGTCTTTTACTTCTCCTTAACGGTACTGGTCCATCTCCTGAAACAGTAATATTGGTAGAATCTTCGGTTTGTTTTTCATTTACTAACTCGTTCTGAACATCTATTATTTCGGTACTTGTGTAATTATTGTCATTATTTTCTGTATTTTGATCAATTTGCTCTTTACATTCTTTGTTGATAGATTCTAGCACAATATATCTTTTCCTGATATTACCTACATGTATTGTCTTAATTCCTTCTTCTAAGTTTACCAAATAAGTAACTTTGCCATATTGTTTAACAATTTGACCTGGAACCCACTTAACAATATTATTTTTATAATTTCTAACCCAAACTTTTTGACCCTCTTCAAAATATTTGAAAGGTTGATTGACCTGCTGACTAATTTCAGAATTATTTTGAGGAGCATGAGTTATGCAAGAATTTGGCTTAATGAGATCAATCAGTGTTCTAGGCTTAAGTTTAAACATCATTTCAGCTGGAGATTTTCCAGTTACTGTTGAAGGAGTATTTCTATAATTAAATAAAAAATTATCTAACCGTCTACTTATTGATAAACTTATGTTGTTCGGTGATTCAAACAATTGTTTAGTTAAACTACTTTTTGTAGTCTGCACTGCCCTTTCTGCTTGCCCATTTGATTGGGGATGATAGGGTGGTGAAAACAAATGTTTAATACCATTGCTTGTACAAAATAATTGAAATTCCCTAGAGTTGAAAGGAGGACCATTATCTGAAACCAACACAACTGGTAACCCAAATATAGCAAAAGAGCTCCTGAGCTTATCTATGGTTTTAACAGCACAAGTACCTTCCTTCATGATATGAATATCCAACCATTTGCTATAACTGTCTATTATCAATAAAAAGGTAACATTATTCTTATAAAAAAAATCTATATGCACCCTATACCAATTGTGAGGTGCCTTTGGCCATGGTTGGAGACCCATATCATGAGGCACATTTCTAGTAGACTGACATATTGTACATTGATTAATTAAATTTTCAAGATCCTGATCTATCCCTGGCCAATAACATGTACTTCTTACAATAAGTTTTGTTCTAACAATACCTGTATGTTGTTCATGTAAAAGTTTCAAAATATTAGAACGCAATGATGATGGTATAACCACTCTTAGACCATATAACAAGCAGCCCTTTTCCACGGACATTAAAGACCTCTTATGATAATATGGCTTGAATTCAGGTGAGATGTTATATTGTGGCCATCCTCTCATTGTATAATCTAAAACCTTACATAGAACTGGATCTTTTAATGTAGCTTCTGATATATCTTTCGAGTCTAAAGGTAACTTATTGTCAATATTAAAATAGTTTATATTTTCATCTATCTCTTCTTTTCTTTGCAATGGTAATCTCGAAAGTGCATCTGCATGCCCTATTGAACAACCCTTTTTATACTTAATCTCATAACTATAAGCTGACAATATGACAGCCCACCTTTGAATTCTTGCAGCTGCTACAACTGGTATACTTCTATTAGGACCCAAAATAATTTCTAAAGGTTGATGATCTGTTTCTAAAACAAAGCGAACTCCATATAGATATTTATGAAATTTTTTTATTGCAAATATAATTGCATAAGCTTCCCTCTCTATTTGTGAGTACTTTTGCTGAGAATCGCTTAATGTTGTAGAAGCAAACATAACAGGTCTTTGAACACCATCAATAATGTGACTTAAAACAGCTCCCACTCCATAGGAAGATGCATCACATGCTACTATTATTGGCTTATTAGGGTCATAGTGTGTTAACAACTGATTATTTAATAATAAATTTTTACTCCCTTGAAATGCACACTCACATTCAGTATTCCAGTTAAATGACACATCTTTTCTCAACAACTTGTGTAAAGGTGCTAACACTGTAGATAAATTTGGTAAAAATTTACAATAGAAATTTAATAAACCTAAATAAGATTTTAACTGTGTTACATTTTTAGGAGGAGGAGCATTTTGGATTGCTTCAACTTTTTCTTTAGTGGGATGTATACCTGCACTATCAATTATATGCCCCAGATATTCAACCGATTTTGCCAAAAACACACACTTATTTAAATTTAATACAATGTTGTATTTTGACAGTCTTTGTAATACTAAATGTAAAGTTTTTAATACTTCCTCCTCATTAGCCCCTTTTAACAAAATGTCATCGAGATAACAAACTACATTAGGTATATTAACCAGGACTTGATCCATTACAGACTGGAAAATAGATGGCGCTGGTGATGCACCATAGGTTAATCTCGTATAGCGAAATAATCCAAGGTGTGTATTAATGGTCATAAGAGGTTCAGAAGACTCACTTAACTTAAGTTGTTGGTACGCTCCAGACAAATCCAATTTGCAGAATACATTTCCACCGGACAATGTAGAAAAGATGTCTTCTAGATTTGGCAATGGATAGTGCTCAGTTTTCAGGACCTTGTTGAGAGTAACCTTAAAATCAACACATATTCTTATACTATCCTTACTCTTAGGCACTACAACAATAGGGCTAGCCCATACGCTATGCTTTACAGGAACTAGAATACCCTGTTTCACCATAGAATTTATCTCTGTTTCTACCCTGTTTTTTAATGCAAATGGCATAGAATATGCTTTGTGAAAAATAGGCTTTACATTATCTTTTAAAACCAAATTTGCTTCAAAATGTTCAATGCTAGTGTTTGGCTTTGGTTCAAAAACATTTGGATACATAGACTTAAGATTAGTTTCTAAAGATTTTAGCTGAGGACATGAACTAAGATTACTTATATTTTCAGTAAAAGTATGTTGCCATTTTGGCCATAAAATGTCCAACCAGTTTCTGCCTAGTAATGGTATGAAATCTTTACAGCCTTTAATAACTGTTAAGGGTAGTAACACACTGCATCCTCTAAATGTTACTTTTACTTGACCTACTCCAAGAGTCACCAGCTGCTCCCCAGTGATAAGTTTTAACTTTTTATTTACGTTTGACAAAACTAAGTCAGGAAAATATTTTTTTAAGTCACTCTCGCACATCACTG